GGACAACATTGGAAAATTTTCCTGCATCTGTAACAAAGGCTGGGAGGGGGTTTTCTGCAATCATGGTAATGCTGTATTTAATCCACTATAACATAACATCCTTTATGACAGGAGCACAGTAGGGGTCAACACTTCAGTCATTGCACAGCTTACTCACTTTCTTTACTAATGTGATTTCTCTCTTGCTTCATAATTGTGGTAGGAGGTTTATTTGTGCTTATCTAAAGCAAAATTAACTTTGTGTTGCCATAGGAGAAGTTCGGAGATCTGAGATATCTGAATTTTGAACCAGTACCAAAAATAACTCTGTAAAGCACGGTTTTCAATTACTTCAGAACTGTCAACCCAGGGATGATGGTGGGGTTTTTAAATACAGTGTCAGTTGTCATTGCTGTGACAATTTTCCCTTGAACAAAAGCTGGTTAGCATCGTTAGGGATGAGCACTGTATGTCCTGTATCATCAACACTTTGCACTGTGTGACTTGCATGTAGTGACAGGAAACTTTATGTTCTCCAGTCTACCTGCTCTGACAGTAATAATCTGTTTCCTCCATCTCCCCACTGCCTGATTCTGGACCAAGGTTGTTTGCTGCCTCAGGGCCTGTGTGCCATTAAAACCCACAACTGCCATCCCAAATCACTGACAGCTGTTGCTCACTCTCCCACATTACCTCCCTGTGACTCTGGACTTTCAAACTTCTTACATCTCTCTTGCTTTCTCCCTCAGAGGTCAAATACACCAACTGCTCTGTGGATAATGGAGGATGTGACCATTTCTGTAGGGATGACCCTGCCACCCAGGGTCGCTCCTGCAGCTGCGCATCAGGCTATCAGCTGATGAACGACCACGTCACGTGCAAGCCTGTAGGTAAGAGGAGGATGTTTGTAATCCGGGTTTGACAGAGCATTATTCAGACTGCAGTAAGAGAGTTTTAGGGCAGAATTGTTGGCAGTGCACTTTGTACTAATTTTCAAACCACCTATTCCGTGCAGAGTAACTCTGCCTACATTTCTCAACTCCATAGTTGCTTTATGGCCCTTAATCTGTGTTTGCCTCACGGAGACATAGAGGGGAATCAGGAGACTGCCTCCTTGCCAAGCACTGAGGGACTTCCATGAAGCCTCTGACCACTATTGCCTAGGTTAGAGACACAGAGGGAATGCTCTAGAAAGAGGTTTTGTATTGGGTGATCTGGGCTTTGCTAGTGAACTTCTCTGCATCTGCACAGTGGAGTTCCCCTGTGGGAGAGTGAAGGTGGACGACATGAAAGCCAAAGCAGACTTCAATATTCGGCTCATTGAGGGAACAGTTGGAAGAAGGGGAGACAGCCCTTGGCAGGTAGGAGAAAAGGGTTCTTCACCACAAGTAGGTCAGGCTCTTACCAAACAGCTCTGCCTGGCTGCTCCAGAAAGGTTCCTACATTACTGGTGGTGTCACGTGAAGCTAAAACTTCCTTAGATTTTTCAAAAGCAACCCCAAAGTTGGAGTAGCAGGAAAAAATAATTTAGTATCTGTTTGGACTCTTGACCTTGTTGCTGTTGGCAAGTTTTTTACCTTACCTTGCCAACACTGTCAAGAGAGAGGATGGTGATGACACTCACCTACTCTGTTGCTCCATCCTGGGGATGCTGTGTGATGGGATGTGTGCTCCAACCTCATGGTGGGAGTGGGGGGGAGGGACTTTCTCACCCTGTTTTATAAGCCTTGTCTGTCATACATTCAAGTTAACAGATTTAATCAGCAAAATATGCCATGGCAGTTGGGATATCACAGAGAAAGGGGAGACCTCACAGAGCTTATCATGGAACTCATGAATGCAAATAATCAGGGCCTAGTTCTCTTTGATATTAAAGGCCCTTGTACACCATAGCATGAGAGCTGCAGTCTGGTGTGGGACACAAGAAAAATCCCCTCATTTGTGCTCTGTGTTTTGAAGCTTTGAGTACAAAGTGCTTCTTTGCAGTGCCCAGCATCACCCCATGCTGATTTGGATGAAGCCAGCCCTCATCCGGGAAGAACATTTTTTAGGTGTTTCACAGAGACTCATTCACAGGGCTTTTGTCCCACCGTGGAGCTTTGGCTTCGGTGCACATGCCCTGCTTTGGTGCCTGATGCACGTGGGTATTTGGCAGCCCCAAAGAAGGGTGTGCACAGCACTTGGGGAGCCACACTCAGGGCAGTGTCACACCTCACCCCTCTCTTGTTTGGTTTCAGATTATGCTGCAAAGTACAAGTGGGAAGTTTCTGTGTGGGGGTGTTCTCATCCATCCAGCTTGGGTCCTAACGGCAGCACACTGCCTGGACAGAGAAAAGGAGCTCAAAGTAAGACTTGGTATGGAAAATCATCTCTCCCCGTGTTTTTTAAATGTAACCATTTCATTCAAAATATTTATCATTTCAGGGGAAAAAGTAGCACGTTCTGAAGGCAGAAGTCCTTGGTTGTAGGAATGGACTGTCTAGGCAGTATTTAATTATGCACCTTAGCTTGAAACAAAGCTTAGTAAAAAACTGATTTCCTTTGAGCCACTGTCAGCCTTACTGCTGTGTTGGAGGGAGCTTTGAGCGTAACTTGGGAGGGAAGAGCTCAGTGGAAAGTTGGTAACTAAGGGAAGTATTGAGGCTGCACTTACATTGTTCCACCCTGGCCTGATACTGCAGGTCTAGAGAGGGATCTGTGCAGTCTGACAAGCTTTCAGCTGGTATAACCATGCCCTGAGATGTGTCTGCAGCAAAGAAAGAAGGGGTGGGATCTGTCAGGAGAGTCCAAATAAAATGTGATTTTCAGTGGGTGAAGAAATGTCAGCACCTGAGAACTCTGATTTGAGAAGATTTTGTTCTGTTTAAATGAAACTTGAGAGACGTCTCACACCTGAATTTGGGGCAAGTATAAGGAGTAATTTATAGTGTCAGGATGGTTATCAGTGGGGCTCGCCTTTCTCTCACTCCCAACTTGCCCAAAAGACCTTCCTTACTCACAGAGGAAGAAGCAAGTGTGTGGCCGTGGACTGAGGGTTGTGATGCACAAGAGGAGTGAGCCCTGCAGCCCGTGTGTTCCTGCTCACCCACACTGCCTTCCTCAGAGGAGATGAGCTGACAGCATTTGAGTCTAGGGTTATTTCTGAGGCCTAAAGCAGGGTTTGTACCTGTGAAGGCAGGAATAAAGCCCTGCCTCTTCCCTGCCAGCCCCCTTGGAGTGCTCCAAGGACACTGGCCCCACAAGGAAGATGGGTTGTGATGGGAGAAAAACACTGATTTGTGGTTGTTGGCTTGATACCAGGAAATCCTTCAGGCTCTGGAACTACTTAATACAACACATCACAGCAGTTTCAGCCACCAGCTCTAGCCAGGTGTGAATTTTCTATTGGATGTCTGCAGAGGAGCAAGAGGAGAGACTCAGAAATAATTGCTCTGGAAATCCAAGATCCAAAGCTGGACTTAAGGGGTCTTTTGAGAATATGTTTCTGTAGCTACTGTGGCTCATAAGCCCCTACACTTGGAGACACTCTTTACAGAAAAAAAAACAGCTGCAAGACCTCACTGACAGCCTACAAGAAAGACCTGCCTCTGCCTTTCCTATCCCAGTGTATCACAAAGGACTTTTCAACACAGTTTTCCTGCTTACTGTTCCACTGACAGCTTGGCCCCTGAAGTGGCTGTGATCATGGAGCACAAATAGCAACGCAGAAGTCTTAAGCAGTCAAAGGTTCCTTAAAATAGATGTAAGGTTTCAGAGAGGAATACCCTGACCAGTCAGTCACCTTTATTTATAAATCCTGACGTTTCATTCAGGCAGCATAAAGCTCATGTCCTGTCATCAGTGTCCTGCTTTGCATGTGCTTGCTCTTCCAGCTTTGAATGCTGGCTCCAAGGAGTGTGTTTTCCTCCTGAAGGAGGTCTCTCACACTGCACAGCTGTACTGAAATGTGAGCACAGCAGGGCATTTTGGTTTCTCAGCTGAGGACCAGAGCTCTAGGGCAACAGTTCATTTAGGACTGGGGATATTTGTGATTTCAGTAAATAGGGAAAGTTTACAGGTTTGCCCATCTGTTGAAAACACTGTCAACCTGTGACATAAAATGAGCAAATGTCTGTATTACAAGGGAGGTAAAACCATGGGAGTACAGCATATTCCAGATGCTTTGGTGTTCAAGGGGAGGGAAGGTTCAGCAGCATCCATCTTCTTGTTTGCTCCTCCAGGTAAATTCCTTTTCCATCGTCGTGATGCAGATGAGCAAATCATTCGTGTCGATAAGCAGGTGATCCACGAGAACTACACCAAGGAGACGTCGGATAACGACATAGCCATGCTGCACCTGGCCCAGCACGCCATGTACTACAAATACGCGCTGCCCATCTGCCTGCCCACCCGCAACCTGGCCGAGCAGGAGCTCACGAGGAGCGGGAGGCAGATGGTGGTGACCGGCTGGGGCAGCACGAGCGACGTTAACGTCAGCTACCCCACCTCCCTCAGCTACATCGAGATCCCCATCGTGCCCCGCAACGAGTGTGCCCAGGTCATGACGTCTCCCATCTCCGACAACATGCTGTGTGCTGGGAGCCTGGGAGACAGGAAAGATGCCTGCCTTGGGGACAGCGGCGGCCCCATGTTCACCAAATATAAGGATACTTGGTTTTTGGTAGGACTGGTGAGCTGGGGCGAAGGCTGTGGGAGAAGAGAGAAATTTGGAGTCTACACCAAAGTTAGTCAGTACCTGGAGTGGATCCAGCACCACATAGATGTGTCAGCTCCTTTGAAGGGTTGATTCTGACCCCGAGAGTCTGGAGTGTGACAGGATGTGGTGTCATGTCAGACCTTCAGTATTAAATACGGAGTATGTGTTAACCTCGTGTGCTGTTTTCCTTGGGACTTACTTTTTTCTTCTTTGCATTGGTTTGCTGCAGGTCGTGTTGTTTATTTGTGGCGTGGTCCTACTTAAGCCTTGCAGGCAAGAAAAAAGAACCCTGTTAGCTGAGATGCTGTACAGCATTGTAGAAAATATGGTGATCCATGGTCAGACAACTCCATCTCTGAGGTGTAAATTGGTTGGGGTGGGGGCAGGAGGGCACAGAGAAAACTGGTTTTGCAAGTCGCTGTGGAGATGCAGTTCTGTCATTTCAGCTGTACCCACAGTAACTGTTTTGGTTTGCTCTGTGTTTGTATAATTTTTCTTTAAACACAGTGAACTTTTTGTAACATCATTACTACTTCCAGTCCCTCACATCCAGTGCTCACAGATCATTGATTCAGCAGGTGACTAGAACTTCTCTGTATTTTCTATTCTTTACACACTTGATGCCTGATTTTACCCCCTCCCAAACTTCCTGAAAAACTCTATAGTATTATTCCAAAAAAAAACCAGGTTTAATTCCAAGCTTTTGCTGGCTCTGTTTATCCTGAGGTCTTCTAATTAGCAAGGTAAGCAAATGCTTCAGTTCAGTGCTGCTCTGGTGCCTGCAATCAGCTGCAGGCTATGTAAGCATTGCTAATGCTTACTGATAAATGGTGTGTGTTTGCATCTGTGTCTGTGTGTATATGAGTAAATGATGCAGAGCACCAATAGCAATAGTCCAGGTGAGGTTTAATGTCACAGTTTATACTTGTTTCTAATCTTAGCACTTATGCCTTGTTAAATAGAATTAATCTTGTAGGAAAAAGAAAAAAGCAGCTTCTTTCTACTGTAGTGATGAGTGTTTCCAGTGTCTCGAGGGGTTTGGGTGTGGTTTTGGATCAGTAAAGAACTTCAGTCTGCTCTTGTGAGGAGACTTAACTTAAGCTCAGGTACAACAGAATTGTCTTAGAGCTTGTAAAATATCTAATGTGATGAAGAATGCTTTGAACAGCACCCTGTTCAGCAGGCCTGCACAGGAACAGGTGACCTGTAACCTGACTGTGTCCAAAGAACAGCAGGGGGTGGCAGTGCTGTGACAGGGCAGTGTTTGCCTGCAGTGAATCCTCCTGCACACTCCCAGCTCTGCAGTATTTCAGCACATGTTTACAGAGTACCCGGTGTGTTTTCCAGATCAGTTGGCCTTGCCTAGTGAAAGGTGATAGTGTCAGAAGTCTGCTCTTAAAAGTTCCACATTTTCCTGAAGAAATTTATTGCAAAGCAGTGGCTTTTAGTATTGGAGGATGATTTGAAAGACTAAATTCTCTTTTTAATGCACGTGTCTATGTGTGTGGAAACACACAATTTTCTTCTGATTTTGAATTTCTAATGTATCTCATAGAATCCAGGTTATCTTTCCTCTGTCAATATTTGTGACTAGTTAATGATCAACCTCTTGACCTCATGGCTGTTCCTGGTGTACATCCAAATCTCTTTCCTGTCTTCCCCTAAAAAAAATATAGCGAGAAACGTGAGTATAATTGCATGGTCCTGTGTAAATTGATCTCATTCTGGATCCTGTGTTTTTGAAAAAATGCTGCAGGTAGTAGAGAGGAACATGCTTTTGAATCCTGGTAAATCCTTTAGCCTGGGAGGGTAATGAGAAGAAATGCAAACTTCTGTGCTGTCCCTGTGAGTGCTGGTATGTGGTGCTTGGTTCCTTCTCGGGGTCTGTGCCTGGTGTTCCCTGAGCAAAGCATCAGTAGTTGCACAGTGCCTGGTTGTGCTCCCGCCTTGGCTCCAGCGAGGCTGGGCTGGCAGGGGCCTCTGCTCCATGTGGGCCATGTGCTCCCATCCCCATGGCTTTTCCATGGCTTCTGTGGGCTTTGGATCAGATCCTGCCCCACACCTCATGTTGGGATGTGCAGCATCAGCGTGGCTTGGGGAAACAGGGGACATGAGGTCAAAATGAACTGGGGAGAATTTGCTTTCTTTGTCTCTTCTTATCCTCCTTGCTTCTACTTTTTCATCTATTTTGCCGGCTCTTTTGGTGACAGACATACTCATTTTATTATTCTTTTCCCTCATAAAGAGATCAGGAGATCAGAGTGTTCTGGATGCTCACAGACATGGAGAGCAGCTCCTCACTTGGGACATTTCTCCTGCTGATGTGCTTCATTGACAGCAGCTGCCTGTTTTCATATGAAGGTGGGTATTTCTTTTACTTTTTTAATTCAGTTGTCTTTTTGTGGCAACATTGGCATTTAAACAGAAACTACGTTCCTGTTCTGAACACAAAGTCCTGTGGGTTGAGAAGGAACACTTCCTGAAATGCACAAGAAATAAATTAATATTCATACACATATTTCCAAGTGGAATCAGACTGCCTTAGATTCCTGTTTAGCCCACTCTCCTGTTGAAAAGTATTCTCTTTGTGACATGGAACCCAAGATCTGAACTGTTTCTGCATGGCAGAGGTTTCCAGTTTGGGAATCTAAAATGAGGCACTTTCAGCGTGTGTTCTTGGGCCTCGTGTTGCTTGTACGACGACTACACGAGGTTTGGAAATGGCTTCAGAGAGCTGTGGCACAGGCACGAGAGTTACAGGCGCTCAGGAATCATCGTGGCTGTCCTTGCAGAGGAGGAAGAGCAGAGCAAGCAGTGGTATTTGCAAAGGCTCTGTGGGACACTGACTTAAAGGAGGGAAATCCTTTAAGTGACCCAGAACACAAGGGGTGCTGAAGGGAAATTCTACTGCTGTAAGTGAAGGAAATGTTCTCCATTACCAGACAGCAGGATCTGTGCAAAGCTTTTCTCCACTGAGTTTTTGTGGGCTGTTACTGATTGCCTGGGAATGAGGCAATGTAATAGCATTCTAGAATTTCAGTCATTGCTGTAAATACTGATCCTGCAACTGCAAATAGATGTGTGTTTTCACAGTCCATCTCCAAAATGGAGGTGGGTCCATCTCCAAAACTCCATCTGGGTTCTTTGCCAGAGGGTTTGACTTGTCCAGGGCATTAACCAGGGCTGAGAAAAGCAGTGCTGCGTGGATTTCCAGAGGCTTTTTTGGGATTCCAGAGTGAGCTTTTTGTCTCATAACACTTGGAGCAGCAGCCTTTCCAACTGCCAGGTGGGCTTTGGCTGCAGGGCTGCACTTTTGGGATCAGTGCACCCACAAGGGGTGTGGGTGGAAAAATCTGCACACTGCTGCAGAATAGAGGAGCCTTAGTGAACGGTGTGCTGTGGAGCAGAGGGGGTGTGTGGGAGGACATTACTGACATAGTCCTTCTTTTGGCCATTCCTCCCTTAATTCATTGGCAGTAATAGCTTAAGGCATCGCAGGAGGGGGGCAAATACCTTAGTGAAGCAAAGTTGAGATGAGCTAAATGTAAGTACAAAACTGATGCTTTAATATTTCTCTTAAAGAAGGATTGGTGTCTGCCCTATTGTGTGGCCACAGCAGAACCTGGAGAACTCTGTGTCTCCACTACCAAGTATCAAGCTAATAATTGCTGTGAATCGGGATGGTTAAGGAGAAAAATCTAACCAGCCTCCAGAGAAGAAGCTGCAATACTCAAGAGTCTTGTAGGATAAAAAATTTCTGCACTAACCTGCAAGTCTCAGTAGTGGCTCTTTTGACTCACTGAAAGCAAGCTTAGACTACTGGTATCTTTTGCTGAAACACAGGCTAATTTTATTTTCCTTTGGGCTGTTTGTGTAGATTGCCACTCCCCTCATTTATATTGTTTATTCCACTGAAAGCCCGTCCAGACTGTGCCTGTGGCGATGCCGCTGTGTTGTCTTCAGCACCAACTGTTCGGTTTGGTCTTCCAGTGTTTATGAGAAAAGACAAAGCCCACGAGGTGCTGCGAGTCCATAAACGTGCCAACCACTTCCTAGAAGAGATTCGTGTGGGGAACTTGGAGAGAGAATGCAATGAGGAGAAGTGTTCATTTGAGGAGGCCAAGGAGATCTTCCACTCGCAGGAGAAAACGGTGAGAAACTTGATTGTAGGAGAAACAGAGGAAAGTCAGCGGTCAGGTCTCAGTAATCCTTGCCAAGTCACCCAGTGTGGCTCTGGAGGTGTTGTCTGTGGATTCTGCAGCTTGGGTCACTTCAGGGTGATTCAGGGATGGTCACCCAGGGCACCTTCACTTTGTGAGTGCTCAGTTTGATGTGTAATGTATGACCATTTATTGCCTGTTCTCTTCATTTGTGATTTCCTCTTGCAGATGGAGTTTTGGTTCAATTACAAAGGTAGGTAAAAAAGGAATTTTTAAAAAACGTATTTCTTTTGTCCCTCCTGGGTACAAAGAATTATGTGGCAATTGAAAGCCAGGCTTCTCTTAATTCCTGGATTACACTATGCCCTGTTTCTTCTCCTCAGGTTTAAATCCATGTAGTACAAATCCCTGTAACAACGGTGGAGTCTGCAAAATAAGACATTACAGTTACTTTTGCATCTGTCCCCCAGAATTCAGAGGACACAACTGTGAAATAGGTGAGTAGAGGGACAGACACACTGGCATTCACTGGGAAGGAAGGATGGCATGTGTCCATCTCCCATCGGCTCCCAAGAAAGGCCAGGGAATTACCCCTTTTCATCACTCTGAGGGGATAACAACTCTAGTGACTCCTGCCATAGATGCCTGCACTGGAGATTGTTCATGGTGAGGCTCTTCTCTTTTATTGAGTCAATCAAACAAATTAGGCAAAGCTTATTGAAAAGGGAGAAGTCTGCTATATTTATGTTGTAATATATGAGTGATGAAAAAGGAAGGATAAAAACTGCCTTGTCTTACCAGGTTTTTCATCCTCTGAAATGCTGTATCCAGTTTGCAAACTGAGGCGTGAAACAGCAGCAAAGGCTAAAATGTGGAAACTAAATGTTTTTCCTCCAAGTGCCTTTGTCAGCCTTTTCTTTGTACAGTGAAGCATTTAAACATGACTATTTTTAATGAAACAATGAATAAAAATCTCAGGCAATTTCAGGCAAGGTCAGACCCCCCCAAAATGCCCAGTGCTTTAAACCTGCCATGATATAAAAGACAAGATGTGCAGATGGATCGAGAACTGATGCATTTAGAAGTGTTTGCTCTTCCAGGCCTCTTCTTGCCCCTGCTCCACAGACAGAAAGGCCCAGCTGTGGCCTCGAGGCAAAGCTGGCAAATGGGAGAACGGTGAGAACAGAACAAAGGGAACATAAGGTGTGGTTTGCTGCACACCAGTGTGCGTGTCTGGAACTGTAGGAGGTGGTTCCTTCTGTTTCCCTGAGCGATTCCAGCAGATGTTTTCCTGCTTTCCCTCATGCAATGAGTAGCTCCAGGAGCTGGGTGCTGCCTGGGCTGCCTAACGCGGGTGTTTCCCCGGCAGAGAGGGTGGAGTGCTGGTACAAGAACGGCGGGTGCTGGCAGTACTGCAGGGACAGCAGCGACTCCCACGTGGAGTGCTCCTGCACCAGGGATTACACCCTGCACGAGGACGGCAGGAGCTGCGTGCAGGCAGGTAAAGCACGGGCTGCTGGGGCCACCTCAGGCCAGGAGGAGGTTTGCAGGCACTGCCTTTCCCTCCACTGGATGCGGAAGAGCTGCACGTGCTGTGGCTACTGCAGCTTGCACTTACTCTATGAAAAGATCTGTCTTACTTGTAATGTTTATTTTAAACGTTAAGGCTCCTCTCTATCTGGTGTCTGTAATCCAGTGCCCCCGTGAGCACATACTGGGTCAAGGAGCAAGCGGGACAGTCTGGAGTGGGCCTGTTCCTTCCAGCACAGAGCAGGGGTGGGAGGGGAGAGGATAGGACAGGAGGCTTTAAAACGTGGTGTTAAGGCAGAAGGGGAGTGCTGGGTTAGTATTCTTTCCTGAAGAGAGCCCTTGGCAGGCTGCTCCTGGCTGATGGCTCAGAAAAGACACAGCCACGTGCCCATTTCTGGGTAATGAGCTCTGCACACTCAACCAGTGTGGGTGTGGGGTGGCCAGGGGGGAGTTCAACATCACGAGGTCGGAGTTGTTCCAGGAGGGTGGATGGACAGGAAAGGTGCTGCTTTGTGTTTGAGTTCATGGCACTGACACACCCTAAGCTCCAGTCTTGGTTTCTGTTGTTCCTCCCTCCAGCACCGTTTCCCTGTGGCCTGATCAAAGCCAGGCAGGAACAGCGGCGGGGGCCGAAAAGGCTCCCCAGGGGCCAGTGGGAGCACGGGGATGTGTCCCAGCTGAACAGGAGCATGGAGGGCACAGCTGGGCAGATGGAGCTGGAACACAGTGATGTTGGGGAAAAGGAGACCGTAGAGGAGACCTTCGGGCATGCTGGACAAAAGGAGGTGGCAGAAGATGCTTCCAGCTGGAACAAGACAGGGGTGGGCTCTGTGTCTCAGAAGCCCCTGTGGGACAGCGTTGCAGGGCAGGAGCTGGATGGCCCTGAGCACCACAAGGCAGTGGAGGGAACTGCCAGGCCTGGGAGAGGCCCAGCTGTGTGGGGTGAGCCAAGCCAGGGCCCTGCATGGCAGGACAAGAGCACAGCACCTGCTGCCAGGCAGGAAGGAACGGGGGGAAATGCTACGGGGCAGAACCAACGAGGGGAGGGCACTGGCAGGAACAGAACAGGGGCTGTTCAACACGGGAGCGATGGGCTGCAGCAGAGCAGGGATGGGGGAGACATTCTGGACACGCCTGAGCCCACCCAGACAAACATCAGCTCTACTTTGGAGCACAGGGACACCAGGATAACAGGAGGAATGCTGTGTCATCGAGGACATTGCCCCTGGCAGGTAATACTTCACTTCCACACCTGAATGCTTTCTTTCTTTATCTTGGTTGGGTCCTCCAGGAGCAGAGTTCATCAAGCCATTACAAAGTTTTTTCAGGTCGAGAGCAGTGGAACCACACATATTTCTCAGCCTTCAGCAGGGCTTTTTGATGATCCAGACCTTAAATGCCTTTATGATTCTTCCCGTCCTACATATACCCGCTTTTGGATTAGAACATAATACCTTCTATCTTAATCCAGTCAGTCACATCTCCTGTGCTGTTATTCAGGTTGTATCTGCGTGTCCTTAGGGCAAAGCTGAGCTTCTGCCTCCTTGTGGAAGGCTGGGGATAGTTTTCCCGAGGCAATTTCTGTGGCCAGGTGAGATTCAGTAGGTTTGGGGCTTTTTTGTGTGTGTCCTTATTTGTTTCTAATTTTCACTATATTGTCTTTGGTCAATGTCCTGTTCCTGATTGCAGAGAAATTCTGATCTAAAACCCTTCACATTACCCTCACTTGATTTACTGCTGGCACACAAGTAGATTTCCCAATTCCACACATCAGGAGGTATTTACAGGTGGAAAAATCATAGGCTGAACCTGGGTAGACTGTGCATTGTGCACTCTGGCAAGCTGAAATGTCACTGTTAGTCAGTTTTATGGGTTTCCATCAGCAGCTGCTTCCCTTTGGATCAGCAGCCTGATTTTGGGTTGTTAGGTGGGAATGGTGTTTGTTGTCCAACCTTATACAGTTTCTTCTGGAAATGAAATGTTCATCAAGGTGGTTTTAAATTGTCATTACATCAAGAAATTTGTAATTGAATGCTGTATTTAAAGTGTATCTATCTTATCAATTTTTAAAGGGTTTTGTAAACCCTTTACATTCTAGGTCTTCATAACCTAAGACAGCATTTTCTGGTAAGTGTTCTTTGCTACTTTTCAATGTTTATTTCTGGCACTACTGAACGGAAATAAAAGCATCAATAGTACATAGAATTAATAGTTGAGGAGATGCTGAGGCACTAATGGAGCTTTTAATTCTGAACAGACAAGGCAGACATCAAACACTGGGCCCCATATTTTAACTTCTCCATTTGCTACTGTGTAGACCATTACAAACTTTATTACCTGAGTACTAATAAACTGCACCTTGTGCTTCTGTTCTCCACCCCTCCCACGTGATGCCACATGAAAAATAAATCACAGTCACACTCATTCCTTCAGAAGAACATCAGCCACTGCAGCTGTAAGTCTACGTGACCTTACCAAGCTTAGTTCATTATTGAATACTCTGCTCGCTTGTCACAGCAGCGCAATGATTTTATTACTGTTTTCACTGCCCCTTTGCTTGGTGGGCTGGTGGTTTCTGCCAGCAGTGTTTCTTACCTGGGTTAGAGCCCACAGTGTGTGCACAGCCCAGGCCCAGCCCCAGCTGTGCCTCTCCCTTCCCACAGGTGCTGCTCTGGGACAGCCAGGGCGTGGGGTTCTGCGGCGGGAGCCTCCTGAGCAGTCGCTGGGTGGTCACAGCCGCGCACTGCCTGGACCTTGTGAGGCCCCACCACGTCACCGTGGGTGAGCACGGGGGGCAGGGGGACACAGCACAGCCAGCCCCACCTGCAGTCAGTTCCTTGGCAGCGTGGGCTCAGCTGGGCCCTTTTGTTTTCATGGAGGACCGGGGGAAACAAGGCAGAGATGTATCCTCCTGTCACTCATTTTGGCAAACTCTCCGTGCACAGAGACTGAGCACATCTTGCTGACCCCTCAGGAGAAGAAGGGTCCCTGCAGGTCACTGTCTGCTCTCAAGGCCATTTTGGTTCTTAATCAGCCTTAAAGTTTATTATCTGCTGTGCTGCCTCTTCCATATTGTCAGTAACTGCCTGGGAGCACAAAGCCCCACTCCCCGGTGACAGGAATTGGCCCCTTGCAGCAGGAATGCTGCAACAAACACAACCTTGTGCTTGGACCCTCCCCAAAGAGGGATGTGCAGGAGCAGCACTAAGGAACCGACAGGAAACAATTCTTCAGCCTTAGTCCCAGTTGCAGCTTAATGCTGATGTCATGGTCCTGAAGGGGAGAACACTGTCCCATGGAAGTTTAGACACAAAAAGGACTGACTGTTTATGGGAAATCATCTCCCTTGGTGTCACATCATCCAGGCCCCAACTCTGTCCTGTTCCTAAAGGGCACCTGGAGAGTTTGGTTTGGTTGGATCACAGCTGTCAGTGGTACATGGAGGATTTGGTTTGGGATGTACCTTCTCAGGACAAAAGATCAAAGCATTAACTCCCTGTCCTTCCTGTTTCCCAGTGATGATACCACAGAGGCGGTTCACAGTTTGCTTATCATTTTTAACTTGTCCTGGCTGCAGGAGACTTTGACAAATACCAGAGAGAGTTCAAGGAGCAGAAGATCGCTGTGGAACGGAGCTGGACGCACCCACACTACGATTCCAACGACTACAACGGTGACATCGCGCTGCTCTACCTGAGCAGTGCCGTTGTTTTCAACGAGTACGCGATTCCCATCTGCCTGCCCAGCCCCGGCCTGGCCGCGCTGCTCTCCGAGGAGGGGCGGCCCGGCGTGGTGAGCGGCTGGGGAGCCACCCACGCCCGGGGCTCCACCCTGCGCTTCCTCATGAAGGTGCGGCTGCCCCTGGTGAGCCTGGAGCGCTGCCAGCGGGCCATGGACAGGCTGGTCACCGACAACATGCTATGCGCGGGGCACGGCACCGCGGCCGCCGACGCCTGCAAGGGGGACAGCGGGGGCCCCTTCACCGCCTCCCACCACAACACCTGGTTCCTCCTGGGCATCGTCAGCTGGGGCGAGGGCTGTGCCCAACAAGGGAAATACGGGGTGTACACCAGAGTAGCCAACTACATCCCCTGGATTAAAGAGGTGGTGGAAAGTGTAGCAGATTCAGAAAACTTTTCCATTGACTTTTCTTAATGCCACCTGTAGGAGCAGGAATAATTCTACTATTACAGTGTTTCAGTCTACAACACTGTACCTGTTCTCTTCCTTAATGGTGTAAAATCAAGCTTCTTACCCTCAAGGAAATTTTGAGAGGGTTAAATTGCTTATTCAAATATTGCTAAAATAGTTGTGTACAATAAAAAACTATTTGCAAGTAACAAAGGAGAAAACAACTTTGCTTAATGCAAATTCTTATCAGGAAGATTTTTTAAGAGAAAGCTAATGCTTTACATTTCTCAGGCCTACCTGCATACCACAGACAGTCCTCTGTACAAATTCAGTGCTTAGCAAAGCACATGCAGTTGGAGTAATGGTGTCTGGCTCTGGGGGTGAGACAGACAGTGCTGAACACAGCAGTGAGGGAGCTCTGAAGTTCTGGAGCCAAAGACAAGTCCATTTACTAAATTACAGATGTTTTCTGATACAAAAAACATCTGTATGGAACTGGGCATAAACCACGCAGGAATCCACCCAGCTGCAGGAAGATTAAAGGATTGTGCAGTAAAATTCTTAACAGCTGATCCATATCAAAAGTAGTTTTGATTTTGTGACCTCTCCTACAATTGACTATCAAGTTTTAATTACAACCTCCTCCCCGCACACTCCATTGTTACCATTCCACAAGAAACAGAACCATTCTGTTTGCCCCACATGGTGTTGAACTATTACTAGTTTTGATAGGAAGAATTTGAATTAGGTCTTGCACATGACCACCAAGGCCAGTACCTCAAGGAAACATCCCCTAGGATTTAAAAGTAGTCCCTAGCCCCCAGTTATCAGAGGACTAGACTGAAGCACCAGAACTACAAAAAAAATTGGGGGAAGAAAAAAGAATCCATTGGACCTTCAGGGCCAAACAGACCCTGGCTCTGAGCAGCTCTGCAGTTCCTGTTTTTCACAGTTGCACACACCACTATGGCAGTAAGGCAGGCCCTGGCTTTCAATACATTCTGAACTAAAAATGGAAAATCCCCCAATCCCTGAAGGTTTCAGCATGCTAAAAGCACACCCGAGGTGGTTACTGCAGCATACACATACCTGGGCAGAGTAGGTGAAGTCTCAGAGCAGAAGCCGTCTCGTGCCCCAGCCAGCACAGGCATCCTCCCTCATTTCCTGCTTTAAGTTGGTGTCCCAGCACTCAGCTCTGTTACTGTCACTGCCTCCAGTCTCACAGGGCCACATTTAACATGTGACTCTCCACACACCTGCATTCACCCATTACCAGTGCCAGCAGTAACTCAGCCAAACACCACCATCCCCACCTCAAAGAATTCCCAGAATTACAGAACACACATTACCAGCAAACAGGCTCTGCTCCTCTGGAAGGAAGGTGACTTTCTTACTGAAGAAATTCCAACTGCCAGTTATTTCTGCAAGGAGAAGAGTCCTCTTCTTGTAGGCAAGCTCAGCAGAGACAGCCATTTGTGGAGGTAAAGGCAAAGAAGCAACATGACCAGATGCTGCTCTGCTGGTGTTCTGTAGCACCAAGGACAAAGAAATAGCAGTATTATCCCCCCTAAGAGACAGGAACTTTCTCCTTCCCACTGGTTAAACAAACCTTTTGCAAAGTCACTAGTGAGCTGCAGAAACATTTTAGCTGGAAACTCCTGGAATTTTTAGTGGTTGGCCTGCTGGGCTTTCCTGAACTTCACATCAGTCTTCATGAACAATAAAATCCTTTGTGTGGATAATGGTCAATATTTCTACTCAAAAGCAATACATGTAAATCTCCAAAGACAAAATAACTGATTAATAAATCACTGCATAAAGAGGAACTGAACAACTCTGAGCAGAAATTAACCATTCACAGCTTTTCCACATCAAGGTGGTCTGTGCATGCCTTCCCCTGAGTAATCAACAAGCAGCCCAAAAAAACAGAAGATGTTTTATTGTCTAAAGTGTTGCAATACAACAAATACATGATCTGTACAATGGACATGATAGGGCCAGTTTAAATACAATCAGGATAAAGAAGTCTTCATATTCACAGTCCTCAGAAACATCTTCTACCAGAACCTGAACCAACAGTTTAAAGATTCACTAAAAAAAACCCCAAACAAGTTGTAAAAAAATTTAAAGGTCTCCAAAGAGTCTTTGGGTACACTGTCTTACAGCAGAGCTCATGGGGTATTCTGTGAAGGGTCACAATGGCATCTTATTACCCTCAATGCTGATTTTCACTGCATGGGCCGATCTGCTTTTTTTCCTGATATCTGTGAATTTCCGCATCTGTTTGTCCAGTCGACTCACCCCTTTCTTAGAGGTTCCCTGGAACTTAAAAAATAAAACTAATAATTACCACTGAAAAAAAAGCAGACGTCCCAGAGGTCCAAGGCAAGCGGCGCATGCGAGGTCACAGCTGGCTCTGGCTGGTGAATCTGCTCTGCCCCCAGGACAGCAGGGCCCGTGTGGAGGCAGAGGCACTCAGCCATCACCCCCTTTGCTGGGTACAGTTTGGAAGTTTTCTATCTACTGGCTGGAGGTGTGTCAGAACCACAGTGCACAGGTGTCACCCAGAAGGGTTTCCTGGGGGAGCTCAGACATGGATACCCTGTGACTGAGGCTGACACAGCATTTCCAAGCTGCCGTTTAAAGGTCATGGATTAGTCCTTATAAAGCAAGAGATTATTGGGAAAAGTGTGCAGGGAGAAGCCAGAGAAATGCTAAGCTGACCATACAAGCTCTTAGAAGTTACTGCATTTCATCTCTGTATTCGAACTGCGAGGGAAAAGCAGGCAGTGCAGCAGTTGTTCTGCCCAGATTAAATACAGTGATGCTGTAACAAAACATCACTGAAGACAAACAGCAAGGACCTTCCAAGCCATAGCCCATACTTCCTAGAAGGTAATTTCCCCTAACTAGATAACAATAAACGACGGAACCACCACACCTTTAAGTTTAGGAGAAACAGAGATATCCAAAACATGCTACGTCGTATCTGACAAAACACATCCATTAGAAACTTGTTCCCATTGCTGAGGAAGGTGCTCCTGACACACTGATTTTAAATAAACTTTATTCATAAAACTGTTCACTATTCATTGAAATTATAGCTGAAGTTTCACAGTGATTTTTAAGAAAATATTTTTTTAAAAACAAATAAATATGAAGCTTAAACTCAATAGTTGTCTATCACTTGTGCTCACCTCTTCCTGTCACTGTTAGCTTGTGGCAGCCCTGCTCACAGCACTGAAATGCAGACCAGGAATTGTCGCAATTCCCACAGTGATGCACGTTCTCCCACCCCACACTCACAGTGGGGGGGGTTTCTTCCCCTGGTCTCAATCTCTGCCTCCCATCAACCACTACTGAAGGCTCTTCACACTATCACATCACTCTACTTCCTTGAAAGAGGTGTGAAAAACACCTCCCTGTGCCCCCCTCAAGGATCAGCCACAGACACTGGTGTGCAGTGACACGAGGCTCTGCACCAAGGGCTAAGAATTCCCATGTGTCGGTTCTGGTAAACCTGGAAAACCCAGTTGTGTCAGAACAGCACTCAAAACCACAGGTGGTGCAAAGCTGGTTCTGAGCACAGGTGTTTTCACTGGACACGTGTCATTTGGGTACCCTGAAGCTGTGCAGGCAGGTGTTATGTGCTACAGACTGTTTTCTCCTGTACAGGCTGCCTTGTAGGTCACGGTACAGACACGAGAGAATACAAGGAGAGTTTTCCAGGTTTAGGTTAGGGTGTACACACTGCTGTCCTGCATGTGCAAACTGCCAACAGCTGAAGCACATGCACTGTTCACACCTCCCTCGAGGGATACCTCTCCAACTTGGGAAGGCAGTGGCATGGCTACAGGGGCATCCTGTTGCCTTCAATGCTGAACTTGATGGCCCGATGCACTTTGCTGAGTCGTTTCTGTTCAGCAAACCGTCTCTTGTGTTTTTCCAAGCGACTAATACCTCTCTTAATAGTCCCGGGCTAGAAACAACATCTCAATTAATGCACAGAAGGAGAGAGAACAGCAGCAAGCACAGCAATTGTTACTTCTTCCATTTACACAAACTCTACCACAAACACCCCTTTTAGCTGAAACTAAGGTACAAGGTAGGTGGATGAACCACAGAAAGCAAGACAAAGGTCTCCACTGAAGCCATTCAAGTTTACCAAAACCTCAAAGGTTTCCCAAACTGGAATATTATCAGAACATGATAATGTTCTGGGGAGAGGTATAAAGGTATCAGTGCAGTGACACAGGTACTGAACTGCAGGTTTAGGTCAAAATGCTCTAAAGCAAGAGGCCTGTGATCAGATTCTCAGCCAAGAGAGAAACTCTAGAACAGTTATCTCAGAAATCTCTTTTTGTCAGAGAAGCAATGAAACCTGAGTGAAAGCATCTGATGAGCTTAGAATAGCCCACCTGACAGAGAACTCGCTGTCTACTCCCATTAGAAGAGCCCCTTAAAAGAACTGCCCTGCTGTGCAGTAACCACAGTAATAGTGACAGATCCCCAGGCTTAGGACAGTCACCAGGAGAATGGCAGTGCTTACCCTGGAGGACTCCATCTCCACGTTCCACTTTGGTCTGACCACATAGTCCTTGTTGGAGGGCATGGGCACCCTCGCACGGGCACAGAACCCGGGGTCCCCGGGCCTCAGAGCCCTGCAGGAACAAAGGATGTGACTTATGGACAAATCTTATCCAGAAAGAACTACAGCAATTAGTGTGTTCTCCTCTGAAACACACTGCATACCACTGCCTCTAAAACCACTACACAATTTCCATGCTGGTAGAATCACCAAAGTACTTAAAGCAATTGAAAAAAAAAAACAAAAAACATCAAACCCAACCTACTTTTCCTCTCCAGTTAGCACTTTCTCCAGGTCTCTGCGGGGAGTCTGACCACCAGAGCTGCAAGAAAAACAAGTGTTTTTAGACACCTATACACAGAGAAAGGCAGAAATTTAAAAAAACAAAGTGTGGTAAATGGAAAGAGAGGTCATAACTTATTATCCTTTTATTTCCTTAATATTTACGCAACATTTTTCTTGATGGAGCCTTAGAAAGAAGGATTTTGTGTTTCTGCCTGCTACTCCTACCTGCTCAGTTTCCTTCGATGAGGCATCTGTTCCAAATCTCTCTGTTCCCTCTCTTCTCTGGTCATGCCTTTGTAGTTTGAGGTAAGGCCAAAGATGGGTCGAGACCATTCATCTATTAAGAAAATAACTGGTTAATACAACAGCCAAGCCTCTGAAGTTTCTCTCAAACCATTCTGGCGATCCAAGTACAGCTTTTAAAGTTTACAGCAAGTATTTGTTCTTCCTTTCAACCAACCAAATGATTTGAGCCCTTAATACTTCCTGGAAATCCAGCCCTGGGGACAGTGTTGCTGTTGCCTGCTCTTTTGGAATCCTCTGAGCTCTCAGAATCCTCAGTGTCAGGAGCTCCTGCACACCAAGATGCTGGTTTAGAAATATGCAGAGAGTTCCTAAAGAATGTAAGTTTATCTCAGTCTGCAGCCCCTCCAGATGGAATGCACTCCATATGGAGTACAGCTGGTTGAGTAGTAAGATTTCAGTCAGCCAAGTCCTCTCTAAAGTCCATGAAATAAACAGTCCTCTGGCAGCACCCTCCTGCCTTTGCAGCACATGCACGAGGGTCTGGACAACAAGAGAGGACAGGGGCAAATAAATGCCATCTGATTTAGGACAAGAATGAAATAAACAGGACAAGGTGAATGCAGAAGTTCATGTTAAAGCTCTACAAAGTGATAGAACAGGTCAATGAGGTTCCTACGTGGCAGAATTAATTCCACTACAGACAACAGCAAAAAGTGTGCACTGAGACTGATGTAGAGATTCCATTCTGAGTGGAATCTCAGCAACACAAGGTGAAGGCAGGGCCACGTACTGATCAGCTTCCCTGCCATGTCCTTGTTCGGTCTCGACTCTTTGGGGTGTTTGTAGAGATACATCACAGCCCGTCCAATCCCACTGTGCTTCAGCGTCTCTTGGCTCACACTGGGCAGCTGCAGGGTAGGAGAAGTCAGAAAACAGCAAGAAATTATGTCTGAACATTATTGGCATCACTGAACTTCACAAAAAGACCAAAACTCACCTTCACAATAAGCTCAAAAAATTAATCTCATTGTCCCACTAGAAATTGTTTAAAGTGTCAAACACCAAAAACTAGAATTTGCCTTAACGTTCTTGGGTTCATACACAAAATGAAGGTTTCTAGAACTTTTTATTCCAACTGCTCTTTAGCTCACACTACCCCAAAAGTGAGTTACTCCCTTCAAAGCGTTCACTCTATAAAAATAACAAGTTAGGAGGCAAAAGCACTCAGGCAATCAGCTTGGCTACAGACACTGGCAGCCTACAGGGAGTGTGATGGGCCTTCCTGGGCACAAAAGAGAAGGGACCAAGAGAGAAAGAACTTCAGGGAAACGTAGCAAGTGACTCTTCACTGAACTTTGCATGTAAACCTGAAACAGGCAGGCAGGGCCAAACCATCTAAATTCTTTCAAACAAACCCATCTGTTCTGCAGTTTGCTTCCCTGTGTGTTTCACTGCACAGCCCTTTGGGAGCACCTGCAGTTCATTTATGACCAAACATTTCCCTAAAGCACGTGACCATAAAACCATGGAGAAGCCATGAATCAAACGTTAAAAGCCAGTTCCAAACCTCTTGCAGGATCTTCAGGAGCTCCTCCCGTATCTTTAGTGCTGGCAGACTTCGGTCTGGAAGAGGAGAAAGCCACTCTTTGATGGCAGACATAACACCACTATCGATGAAAGTTTCTTTGAGGTCCTGCCTAGAAAGTTTAAAGAGAAGCCCCAGAGTCATGTAATATAAAAAATCTTAAGATGTGATGTGTTCCTTAAGCCAGATAGTGCATTTGAGTTTGTTTCATGTTAAATTAACAGGTAAAATTAAATATAAAAGTTTAGGTTTTTGAGGTCACCTAGCTTCAACATTTACTTGGAAGAATAAGAAGTGCTTTACTGCATATTCTGTAGAGTTGCAATGTCACTCCATGAAATCTAACAAATTCTGAATATTCCCCAGGGTTATAATTAACCAGAAGAATAACAACTCACTTTTTAAGATGCATAACTACAGTTGGTAGCAAAGTTAATTTCTTTAGTGCTGGTTTCTTTTGTGTATTCAGCTGTCGATCCTCCTGTAGAGAGTTGAAGAATCAGCACAAGTTAATCACACCATAGTCAACATTTTCCTCAAAAGCATCACATTAAGAGTGCCCCCCTAAATTTACATTTTTTTTTCCCACTTCATGACTTTGATTGACTGCAATAACTGGAGGTCTGCAGAGTCCTCCACGCTATGCACAGATAACCTCAACACTTTAGTTAGGAAAACCTCACCTGACAAACAGAACAATGGGAAGGGAGAACATGAGTATTCATTTCGGCTGTGGGTTTCAAAATGACTTTCATCCAAGGCATTACTGTCACTGTTCAGTACTTGGCTCTCATATCTGAAACACCCACTGCAATTGCTGTGGTAATTCCTTTCCACTCATCTGAATCCACTGATGGCTCTTTCTGCACAATATTTTTTTTATTGCAAGGGAGGAGATTCTTCTGAGTCCCTTACCCTCTTCATGCTCCAGTATTTCAAATTTACCACCCCATTTGAGACATCTGGCTGTCATCCTGTCCAAGAAAGACTTTCTTGCCAAGACCAAGGAAGTCTGAGTTATCTCCCAGATTGCTTTCTCACTCTCCCTGTCTCCCTGAACTCATTATCCTTCTAATCTTGTTCTCAGGAAGATGTTTTTGTTATTGCTATTTATGAACTTCCTCTTTCTCAGGTTCTTATGTGCCCCCCAAATTGATTTTAATGTGTTTCAATGTGCTGTTTGTTCATTTGATTGCTACTCAACAAAATAACAGAAGACAGGTACCTGACAGATAGCAAGACCCCAGTAAACCTTGCACAGTAACATATTAAACATTTCTCCTTGAAAATGGTAGGCTGCCAAGGTAGAACTTCCCATGATTCTGTTGTTCTGTCATTTACCACAGCACTGTTACTCAGTTTAGAAAAGAGGCCTTCTCAGGAAAAAATAACCAAAATACAACATATGCCATTAATCGCAAAATAAAATTAATGCACTGTCCCTTTCTCAGTGTTTGATACACTTGTATATCATTTATAGAGCACATATATATATCCCTTTCTATAGAACAGCTGATCTCAGCTGAGCAAAGTTTAACAATTAACTAATTTTAATTTCTAAAATTAGTATTCTCTCAAAACTTCAACAGAATAAGTGTTTTAATTCAGAACAGTAAAATAACCTTTACTCAGTTATATGGACATTGAAAGCTTTCAATGCGTACAGATCACTCCTCCTAAAAACAGGCCGGATTTTTGTACCTTACCGATCACAAGGTTTTCCCTTAGAATGGAGCAGAATTTTAAGGTGCCTTTGGAGCCTGGGGAACTCACCTCAGCAGCTTCATTCATCTTGACAATCATGGCACTGACCACATCATCTGCATCACTGATGAAGGTTCCCCCATCGCGGTTCCGCCGGCGCTTGCCGCTCATGCTCTTCTTCCGCTGCAGCATCATGTCGAAATCTGACATGAAATCCATGCTGAAATACGAGAGAGTTGGATGATTTTGTGTTTCCATCGTGTACAAACACTACATCTCAAGGTCCCTGTGAGATAATTAGTTATCCTCAGTATGCAAAATGGAAAATTAGCCAAGGGCTCCAATGGCTCCAAGATGCCCTTGGCCCTGCTGCAACAGCCAACACGTGCACACATATAATATTCAGGGTTCAAAATCTCCTCAAGCTGTCACTGCAGCTGAGAAACATTTAGCTTTCCTGTACCTGCCATACGCTGCTCTGATGCTACTGGAGCAGCCAGAAAGGTAACTGAAAACACGCTGATGGCAAGTCTTGCACCAGCAGAGAAAACACACCTATGGTCCCAATGCTGAACTGCTAATGCTTGTTTGATTAGAAATTGATTTCACTGAGGTTCTGATGTGAGCTATGAAATCCTGCTCTCTGAAGTAGCAGTACAAGTAATCTGCTCTGGACTGCCACTGGCCAAACTGCACAAGCTGGGACAGGACCTTGTCCTAGTTCAGGAGAACACTGCAGAAATACAGTCCCAGGCCTTTCTAAGCTAAGAATTCCAGCCAGTCTTTGGAGGAGCCCTTTCACCAAAATCTTGCATTAACAAATGAGTATGGAACACACTGACTTACTGCTTCCCTCTTTTGATGTTATCATCAGAGTCTGATTCATCTGCTGTCTCCTTCGTGTCTCCATCACCTTTCTCTTCCTCCAGATCCTCCTGGTTAAAACCCTGATGGGTAAAGACAGTGCAACTCAGTTTATGGATTAAGACTGAACACCCACTCAGGTACCTGACACACTGACACTCAAAAAGCTTCAGGAAAGTCTACAGAGGATCTAGAAAGAAGAGCAATTCCACCTGACTGTCATACCAACACCTCTCCCAACAGAAGAGCTGTAAATATTATTTAACCCCAAGACTATCCCAGTGAGTTCAGCAGATACAAAGCTGATCTCGTACAGCATAAGCATTTCCCCCTTCAAGATCAGATCTACTAAGTGAATAGGAGACATCCACAATAACACTTACTGTAAATTCCTCCTCTTCCTCATCACCAGATTCTCCAAATATATCTGCAATCAGGTTCCTGTGAAGGTAACAGCAACATTTAGCTACCTGGATGGCAACAGTGAGAGGTGCCTTTTCTGCAAGATCTCCAACAACTGTGTGGAGATCCCCCTTTTGCTCTGCCTCCTACTACTGACCTTCCTCTTCAACCACCAATGAAGGTGGACAGTCATTCTCTGGTTGAGATTCATCCATTCTCCATTCAACATCACTCCCACTACCTGCCACCCTGAAAGAATTCATAATCCCAGAAGCACTTACTCTTGTTCATTTCCAGATTCGCTGTCACTGCCAAACAGATCTTTCTCTTCTTTCTTCTTCCCAGCATTCTCTTTTCTTTCTTCTTCTTCCTCCTCCTCACTATCTGATACAATGTTTTTCTTCCTTTTGTCAGACTTCTCTGAAGCAGCATCACTATCTGATTCTTCGACATCAGAAAGGATTCGTACCTTTTTTGCAGCTGCCAGCAGAGAGGAGCATTACTACATGTCCCAGAAACAGAGGATAAAACTGGTACTCTCAAAAAACTACTCCCTGATTAGTTTTCCTACACAAAATCATTGCCATTTCTTAAAAGCATATCAATTCTAAACTCTGTTTAATTAAAATCAGCAATTGTACCTACCTATCTACTCATAAAAGATCCAAATCTATCCATAAAAAAAATTGTAATTTCAAATCTGACTCTCACCCCCAGTACATGATAATAAGAAAAAACCCACAGGAAAAAGACTAGAGAGCAACTAAGTAGAGAAATAACAAACTATCATGACAACCCATGCCAGTATAAAGCAAGACCACTACTGTCTTCTCTTCTGTTACACCTACTTATTATTCAAAAGTATTATATAGATATTCACACAGCAAAGCAGTCAGACCAACAGCCTCTACAAATGCAGTTTTGCTCTAAAACGAAACCTGATTTATGGTTTCTCACTTAGATGCTTTATGCACCCGAATGCACTGCATTTGCTTCCACACTGCTGCCTGTCACAGCGTTTTCACAGTATAGCTCCTTACGTGTTTTCTCACTGTCATCCTCACTGTCAGACAATATGGCTGTTTTCCTCTTCACTGTCTTCTCCTCCTCTTTCTCATCTTCATCACTGTCCGATATTTTACGTCTCATAGGAGCTTCATCTTCACTGTCAGAGCCCTGAAATCCTTCCCGTGCATTCTCATTATCTGAATGATGAGAGTCATTCTGCACCTCCTCCTTCCTGTCCTCCCCATCGCTCTCCTCAGACTCTATCTGTTTGTGCCTGGCGACATCCTCGCTCTCCGAGTCGCTGCCTGGCTGCTTCTGGAGCTCCTCGCTCTCCGAGTCGCTGCCTGGCTGCTTGTGGGATTCCTCGTTCTCAAAATCACTGCTGGGATCCCGGGGAGGTTCTCCGTTATCAGAGTCACTCGCTCGATGATTTAAGGTCTCCTCGTTTTCAGAGTCACTTAAGTGCCGGTTTGGATGGTCCTCAGTCTCAGAGTCACTGTCTTTGCCTCCGTGAGCTGCTTCATTGTCTGAATCACTGACGTTGTGATTTGGAGGCTCCTCATTATCTGAATCACTGTCCTTTTGCCTTGGGATGTCTTCATTTTCAGAGTCTGTCATATGAGGCTCTCCCACTTGCCCATCATCTTCTCCATCGCTGTGTTCATTCTGAAACAGAAAAATAATCTCAGGCAACTATGCAAAAACACTTTAAAAAGTACAGAAAAAGATGTTCTGAATTTTTGCTTGTCCTTCCTCCAAGATATCGCAAACTGAAATACTTTCTACACAGAAATAATTAGACAATTTGCATCAAATACTATCAAATACTTCAGATCAAGAAAAACATTAAGAAATCAATGGAAGTATGTCTACCCTGCAGCTCAATCTCCTTTTGGAAATGGTACCAGAATTTAAAAAACACTTAAATAAACATGTCCAAGAGGGGTGCAGCTCCTCAAGGGTAAAGGCACCTTTATTTTAAAAAGGTCAGGCATTCAAAATGGTTTAGTTCAAATCCCCAGTAACAAAGCAAGAAACTGTACCTGGCACTTGTCATTTTATTTTCCTTAAGATCTCAAGCAGATATTTTCTGCATGAAATACATTTTACTGAAGCTGCATGTGCATTATGCTTCAAGTAAAGCTCAAGAGAGCTCGTGCCCGTTCCTTCTTTGCCCAGGAAACCTATTTAAGAACAAGTCATGACCAAAAGCCTACCAAAAACCGGGAATAAAGTTTCAGTCAGACCTTTCAGAGTATTATTGTTAGCAAGTTCTGTGTTCAATGTGTAGGAATGTAAGAACAGATCTGACACTCGTCTCCCTTAAGCTGACAGCTCCCATGCTTATCCACACACTGGATAAACCACACACAGAGACACCCACCTGAGAACTGAAACACAATCCTTTGTCTTTTCTACACAGCAAAAAATACTGAGCCACGGGGCTCCATTTTTGGAAGAACCTTTTACAAGCCACCTTGTCAAGTCTAACTACTGACAACATTGTCTTTTATCTTTCCTACAACATCTAATTTCTACTTGGAAAAAATCTCCCTTGCATTTACCTGAGAATACAAAGTAGGCTCTTGGACACTCGATCCATTAACCCAGCACACCCCTCACAGCCACTGTCACCATAATCCTGTTTTCAGCTGAAAACAACAATATTGTACTAGGAACTTCTCTTCTGCACCCAACTCAACTCCTCAGGGCTGATTTTGTCCCAGCTATGAACTCCTTCCACCTGGAGAAAACTGAGTTTTTATTGTCCTGTTTAAGATCTGTATGTCCTGTGGTTTCGAACTCTTTTTTGTCTGTAATTTAATTTCCCTGGAAACAGACTTTCTGTCTACTTTTATTTTCTGCAGTCATTCAACTCTCAATTTCAGAGCCATACAAAATAATGCAGGTGTAGCTATCCTAAAACAAACAACACTACTAATCTTCAAAATGCCTGATTCAGGAGGAGTTCTAAATAAAACTAATTTTAATTGCTTTTAGGAACTACTCCCTCCAGTACTATTCCAAGTGGCAAACAGCACTGCTTTCTAAGACTCTGGACCTTATGCATTTATTCCCTTGGTTTGCACTTGACAAAGATCTTCTGAATTACTGCAAAATGACTAACAAAGTTACTGCACAGTGAAAAAACCCCAGGGCTGTGCAATTTTAAAACATGCACTTCAAATACAACTTCACTATTTCCACGTGACTTAATGCTAACTACAAACAGCTGCTGGGACAATCTGAATTGTTTCTCTTGCTGCTTGTTCCTGTCTCTACAGCGAGGCATCTTCTGGATCCTGCTGGTATTATCCAGTACTTCTCTTTTCTCCTCACAGCAAGGAAACATGGTTCTGTTAAAACCTGAATTTGGAATTTTAAGTAATTAAATAAGAAGACTAAAAAGTTACAGAACTGAGGATGACTACACACTCAACTCTCAGCTTGTTACAGGATTTTATTTACAACTTTTATTCCCTTACCAAAAAATCACTTTGATTGCCCTCTCCTGCTTAGTATCTCCCACATAAACCAACCACAGGTGTATGTGACAGATTTTCCCTGACTACTACTTGAGATTAAAGAAAATTGCAGCTGGAAATAGAATAGGAAACTCAAGATTTCACAGCAGTTACAGATAAGGTCACTAAGAAGTACTGAAATGCAGAGATCTACCCTGAAATTGGTGTCTACAGTAACAAAAATTCTTTAATCCTTGTTTTCCTACCACTTAATTTTGGTGCATTTGTCTGTCTTCCCTCAATGTCAGATGGTGAATGCTGAATAGTACTGATACTTATGTAAGCAGAAAAAGACATTTTGCTACACAAACCCAAGGAAATTAATTCAAATACCCCTGTTAAAGCTATTAGGCTCATCGCCTTCCTGACTGCCAGTTCAGAGATTCCTTGTGAAAAACTGAACAAAACTAAAAGCAACTGGAATCAGTAAAGATTCTTGACATTTCTAAGGTCAGAAGTGTGGCTGCAGGTTATATAACCACCTGTTCAGAATCATTTACTAAATCACAAAGACTTGGTAAGAAGACATTATAATCACAGAGCATTGTTACTGAAGCACTTGACAAGACAGTGAACACACAGTGGCTGCAGCAGGAAGCCACACCTGAGGTACCACGGGTGTCCCTGCCCTCGCTGGGCTCACAGGCACCACTTGCTCCAACCCTGCCTGTGGGAGGCTCCCCAGGAAGGGCTACCCCAAGCAGCACCCCCTTGACCAGTGAGCTCAGCAAGCCCTGCAGAGATGAGACAGCCTCAGACCCAGCACCTCCTGGAGCAGAGCTGAGCCCCAGCACAGCCAGGCCCTGCCCACAGCCAGCAGTGCAAAGGGCTCCTGCAGACAATTAACCACTCTGAATATTTTGGAATAGAATTGATATCAAAAGTGCATGCACCTTCACAGTAAAATTGCTAAATGCTACTGGGATGTGTTTGATAGGCTTCCCCTCTCCTTTTTTAATTTACTAGGTCGTCTCTAAAAAAGTGTTTTCAAAGAGATCAAGTAAGTAATTTTGGAGTTTTCTAGTTTTCCTTTTCCAAATAATTAAAATAAAAGATCAGACATCCACAAAATCAAGTAGGTCTCAGGTAACTGCTACTGCATTTTTCTCTAATTCCTTTACTTTCTTTTCTTCCTCCTCTTTATCTATAAACATTTTAATTGAGATGTCCTTAGTTGTTGTTTTTTTTAACTGAAAGAATTCTGTAACATCAGTCTTTAGTACAGTATAAAATAACGAATACATCAAAAATCAAATTTACAGTGTTATCCTTGTAAATAAAAAAATGTCAGCCAGCAGGTAGTTTATTGGAGAAACATGCAGCCACTTTTAAGAGCTACTTCTTTGACAATTTGGTAAGTTCTACAAAATTGACCCATCCACTACAATCTCATGAATGCCAAGGGTTAAACTAAGACCTACATAACCATCATAGGCAGATCAGCACGATCCTCCTTTCTCAGGAGTGTCAGATATTTGTGTGTGTTTGTTAACAGTCACAGTCAAAACAGAACTCAATCCCTGGAACAGCAGCCACTTGGAAGTGTAAGAGTTAAGTCATTACAGATTTCCATATAAGCCTGACTTGTACAAACACTGTAAACATGATTTGAGATTCATTACTGTACTAAAACTATGTGTTATCCAGTTCTAATTGCCTAGAGCAGAATCAGTAAGGACATCAAGAAGAACATTTATAGATAAAGTAGGATTGGGGGAAGGAAAGCCAGAAAAGAATTGTGGAAAAGAAAAACCCACATACCTGAGACCTACATAAGTAATTCCTCAGGATTCCCCTTTTCTTTAAAGTTAAGAACCTGAAAGAAAAGTTTGAAATTTTAAAACTTCAGTTCTTTACATCTGAGTTCTAAATTAGAGATGAAATAGTAATTAAATAGACTTAACTGATTAGGCTGTCTGTGATGGTTTTATTACCTTTGAGTGTCATTCCTCCCACATACTCCTACACTTGATGGGAATTAAGAGAATGAGAGAATATTTAGGGTAAATAGTACGACAGATGACTGAAAGCTACTCCTTTCAGAGAGAGCTGCTCCACATCATTGCCTTTGGAGTGCAAAAGGAACTCCATAGAGGGAAAGCTAAGAATTAAGACTTCACAATTAAACAAAATATTCAGATGGTTGATTTGAAGTGAAGCAAATAAAGCTTTAAGGCTTGAAGGTTCACATTTCTATTGGACAGAAACCTGGTTTAACTTGGATTTTTTTTTTTTAGATGGATTTTCTGAAGTATTTCTGAGGAATATTCAACAGCCAGCACAGAACAGAGCCCTTAAAGTAACTCAGCACATGAAGAGGATCAGTTAACAGTAACAGGTACTTTCCAGTTACTTAAATCTGAAAGAGACACGCTGTAGATTTTAACAATAGTCAGCTATCTCTTCTTTTGGAGAGATTGCAAGTTACTTTGCCACAGTAAGTAAAATTTAAATCCCAGATGAGCACAGAAAAGCAAGAACCAACGATCAAGCTTTTGTACACAGCAGAAAAGGTTTAATATTATTGCAGCAGCACCATGACTCTCCATGCAGTTGTTACTTTTCACTAAAGCAGAAGCACTAAAGCCCTCTGACAGACAGTTACTCCTCCCGTGCTCCCACAGTGGGAGGTGCTGCCTCACACCAAATCTGCTCCTTCACTGTAAATATCAACACTTTTTAAAAAGAACTAAACTCCAAATGTGGTTTATGCTCAGGTTCAAATACGGAAAGAACTTTCATTTTATCCAAATACAAAACCTTCATCTACTTCCTAACTCAGAGGGAAGTATGAATTCAATAAAGCCCAGGAGGAAAAGGAAAGGACTGCAGTGGAATCAAGCCTTCTGACACATCAGCCTATGTCCCATTTTAAGCAACTTTTAAAATGTATAACACTGCAAACCTAGTCAGAGTAAATCCTAATCTTTCCATAAAATGCAACAAAATGTGGACAACATAAGGAACTTTGATTACAGGCTTTGTGAGTATCAAAAAGTTCTCCCTAACTTTGCTGGCAGAAGACATGAGTTCACAGGCCAAAACTACTCCTTCTTACTACGACTTGATGTAGCTCTATTGTGAGTCACAAAAAATTCTTTAAAAATAATCTTAACTATCAACCTGTCTTAGGAATCCAAAGGTAACTTTCACTTTTATCAGAACCTCTTCTCAACCAAAACAGTCGATCCACAAATGAAATGACTCTCCCTCAGACACAATCCTGGACCAAAAGCTCTCCAGAGTGAATGCTTCTTCAAGTGAGAACCTCTTCAGATGAAGAATAGGTCCCATTTAACCTGCTCCACGTGCACCTTTAACCTGCTCTTTTGGGAACGACAAGGACAAAACCAGCACAAAACAGGCCTGAGAGTGAGTGATCCCATCTGAGATGCAAGCTGGGAGAGCACTGACTCTCTGGCAAGGAAATCCACATCTCCAAAACGTGTGGTTTTACATTATTGTGCGGAATTTCAGGTACACCTTCCAATTCCTCGTAATCCATGGCTTAGAATTGCAAACTCAAAATTGTTATCTTCATGCAGTTGTGTATAACAATATCAAACTTATTCAAGTTCAAAACAGTGCATGCCATTACAATAATTAAGAAGAAAAATGAAAAAAGACCCTATTCTATATATTGGTTTAGAGATTATCCAACTCTTTTTCTGGAGGTAAAGTTTTGCCAGATGGGACCCTTAAGAACCGAACAAAACATGAATATCTGGGTTAAGAGAGAATGGCTCTTCAAACAACAACAAAAGAGAACTGAGAGAACAGTAAACTTTATCTAGATAACGCTCCCGTAGTACCTCTGAATGGTGCCCTACACTTCCATTCTCCGATCCAGAATGCTGCTCATTTCCTTCATCTTCCACATCAGATCCTGAGTCTCGCTCGTCTTGCACTGGAGTAGCTCCTCCATCATCTATCCCGAAGTTAAAAACAGAAAGTAAAACTCAGTGACACCTCGCAGTGTTTAAATGAGCCGGCCGGGCTCCCGCTTTAACGCGGAAGGGAAACAACCTCGGGTCCGAACAAACCACCTCAGGCACCCCCAAAGAGTGCACAAAACCATCTATACCGTGCGGGCAGGGACTGACACACTGCCCAGACACGGGGCTGAAGTCCCCGGCAGGGCCCCGCGCCGCTGCCCGACTGCTCCCCGCCGTAACGCTGTGTCCATGGAGCCCGTGCCGGCCCCGCGCCGCTGCCTGACTGCTCCCCGCCGTAACCGTGTGTGCCACGGTGTCCGCGCCGGCCCCGCGCCCCTACCTGACTGCTCGCCGCCGTAGTAGTCGGTGTCCATGCCGGCCCGGGCTGGCGGCGGGCGCTGCCCCGGTCGCGGCCTCGGCCCCGCCGCCTCACACAGGAACAAGATGGCGCCTCCCCGCCCAGCACCGCCCCCGCCCCGCGCGCACCGCTGCCGGATCTCGCGAGACTTCCCGGGCAGGCGCTGCCGGGGCCGTGGGCTCTCACAGGCGGCCCCGCCCGGCCGGGTCATTGTCAAGCACGGCGGAGTGAAAGCCATTCTTTCCTCCCCACAAAGTCTTCCCCCCCCTCCCCCATTAAATATCGTTTGATTTCAGCTCGATAACTGAAGCGCTGGGGAAATCGAAGGAGCCTTTGAGGAGGAAAGGCTGTTTGTAGCCCCTGCGTGACGGCGGGCAGCGCACAGCTGCGGTGTGATACGCCCGGGATCCCGACAGAGGGGTTTCCTTGGGGGAATTCCTGGGGGAATTTTCAGGACCAAACCAACTCCTGACGGCGTTCATGGCTGCTCGAGCCCAGAGCCCTGAGCTACACGAGAGATCTCCCTTCCGCCAGACCAAGGAACGTCACCACAGTGATAAAGGGTGGGGGACCCACAGTGACATCTATACAGTGGAATAGATTTTGCCATTTAAATTTATCTCCTCCCTGCCAACCAAGTGAGCAAGATTAACGTGCATCTCCCCAAGAAGGCAGCAGGGCAGAAGCAGGGCTCAGGCACACGCACACAAGTGGGCTCTGGAGGGCAGTGGGGGCCACCAGTGTCCATGTCACCGCTGCCCAGGGAGGGACCACGGCCGGCCGGGCACAGGGAGGAATAGCTGTCCCAGCCAATTTAGGTCTGACTGTCCTCCCTGAAGCTGCAGTTCAATCTAGTTCATGTGTGGGTGGTTCCTCCAGATTTAGCCTTCAGGATCGACTGAAAGTTCGCCCTGAGCTCCCAGGTGATGGTGACTTCCGGAGTAAACAGAGGGGCAGAACAATCCCCATCTTTTCCAGGGATTGCTGTGCTCTGTTTCAATAACCCCATCCTCTAAGCAGTGTTACTACTCAAGTATTTGGCACGCCCACGATATGCCACTAGGGGATTACTGCTATCGTTGATGCATCATTTCAAAATGGAAAGTCTAATAAATGCATACAGTGCTGGTCTCCTGCCTCTCAGTCTTCATTTTCTAGGGTACAGGTCAATGTGAGACATAGAAAACTGCTGGGTATGTCATTTGGGATATTTCTAAATGGCACTGATTTTTATAATCCTATATGCTATACTCTTGTTCAGGGACATCAAAATTTAGTAAGTTGATCATTTGGGGCAAAATGAGTCTATTTCTTCTGTGCTAGAGGCACTTGAGAATGGATGACAGGGAGGTTAAGCCATCATTAACCAACACACTCCAGCAGCAAGCACAGTTACAATGCAGGGAGTTCAGTGTACCAGGTTAAACACATCTGAAATCTCAGGACTGAGTTATTACTCAACATTTCTACAGCACCTCACTTAGAAGGAGAAATCAACAGTGAAGTCAGATGTTCCTTGGATACCATCCTATTTTCTTAGCGAAAACACAGAAGATGGTTCCTCCCCACCCCGAAAGCAGGATACCTAAAATAAAATGTCTCTTTGCTTGCAGCTCTATAGGTCTTTTCCAGATAGCCCCCATTCCCTCAGGGATCCTCAGTACTACACTCTTGATGGTATCATGTGCTTTTTCCTGCCCCTATGTGACTTTTGCTGCTTTTCGGTCTTTGCATGGTGTGGTTTCATTTAGATCTTTTCTGGAAGGAGCAGGCACATGTGTTGTCAGTATGTGATGGGTGGCCCCTGTCATTGCACTCATCTGACTTCCATAGGGAAAGGGAATGGCTTTATATAACTGACTAAATAGAAGGCAGGATGACAACTTTGCAACACAACAAATAAAGTTCTCTGCAGAAAAAGCACTGAGGAAATAACCTGGGAATAGTGTAACAGAAAATAATGGACAAGGGGAAACATAAACAAACTAACAGAAAAAAAAAATAATGTGTACAAAGGTACACAGAAATTGTACCAAGGGGCCTAGAAAACACAGAATTCTATTCCATCCTAAGGTCCCATGCAGGATCAGAGTATGATGGTAGCCTGCCTGGGAAATTAGTAATTTATAAATATGTGTCATGTTCTGCAGTGATGGCAAGCCACTGTCCCAAATTCCAGCAGCACTGAGGCTGCATTGATGAGTCAATAGAGATTTTATGCATTTAGTGAAAGTGAAAGAAGGCACAGAAGTTCCTTCCTAACAGTTACAAATTCCCATTTCTGAAAACAAAACCTCCTAACCCCAAGCCACGTGCACCACACGGCAGAGGAGGCACCTGTGTCTGAAATAACCTCACCTCAGCGATGCTGAATAACTGGGCCTCAGTCCTGACCCCCATTCTGCAGGTAACGTGTCTGTGCACTCTGCTGTGCACATGCCTTTGTCCCTCATGAGCCAGAGCTTGGCAGACATCGGCCTGTAATGTACTCCTGTAATGCCATCCTGGCTGCTTCCCAAGAGGAAGGATGGAGTGACAGTCAGACCATAATGGGATTGCACAGTGGGGGAGAATGACCTGTCTTCTACCAAGCAGCGTAAGCAGCGCACACTTGGCGTGTGTGAAGGTGTGTAATGACACAGATCCCAGAGCCCTGCCAGTCTGTCTCCCTGTGCAACACCGTCAACTGGCTGGAATGAAATAAGCCTTTCCCTGAGGGACAGAATGCTCAAGAAAACCATGGGATGCACTTGGAAATCCTTTACTGGTATGTACTTCTTCTTTAGTTTGCTTTGTTCCCTGCACTGCACCTTTCAGAGTTAACAGACATCAGTGACTTAGAGCTACAAATCTGCTTAGAGAAAGGAAGGAGGTTAGTGTAGGCAGGAGGGCTGCTGAATGAACAGTTTAAATTGCAAATGGTTACATCCAATCCACCTCCCTTCAGAAACCTCAGAGAAATAACTAATTTAACATAAAATGATGTTTGGCATCTAGGACCTGGTGATGCAGAAACGACAAGGCCACTTGGATTTAACTGGAGAGAAAATATGAAAGGTAGTGCCATGTGCAAATTAAACCCTTTGATCCTGACATCAATCTCTTAATTAGGAAGCTGTCAGGAAGAGGTAGTTTTGTTAACACATGTCTATCCGGACAGACCTATTGATTTGAACAACCACAGCATTAAATTCACCAGGGATTATCCAATTTTAATTTGGTGTATTTCTCAGTGCATTATTCATCATAGAATCATAGAATCCCAGAATGGTTTAGGTGAGAAGGGACCATAAAGTTCATCTCGTTCCACCCTCTGCCATGGACAGGGACACCTGCTCATCTCTCACTAGGTACATGTGCTGTCCAGAGCATCTTGGCTGCTTTCCTTTGGTATATCAAGTCTCTACTCCTTCAGCTTTTGTTTTCTGGCCCTTGAATATGTCTAGACTGACCTGTGGAAATCAATATCCCTTCCAGTATATATTTCAGCTGTACAATGAGTTGTACTTCTCTTTCAGGCTTACCTCAGTTTCCCTATGTTTCCATCTCATACAGTTTCTATACTGTATTAGGACATAAATCCTGTACTTCTCTCTGAAATAGCACAGCCACGGTGCATTGGGCACATGGATTAACAGTGCAGATTATTTCAGCAGATATGTATCCTTTGCTGAAGGAATATGAATGGCACTTTTTTCCCCTGCAGTCTAATCATACAAAAACTTTAGGTTTAGAATGTGCCTTGGTGTATAAAGGCATGTACTTTGATTCATTTGCCAATATTTGTCCTTCACCTAATAAAATCAGCCCTTGGAATTTTGTTAATCACTACAGCATATAGACTTCTAAAAATTGTATCAGAAATAAGTCTGATAAACAACTACTTTGAGGCAAAAATCTTTGGGTGAGAATGATTTGCACAGTTAGAAACCTGAAGAAAGCTCTTCTCTCTGCCTCTCTCAAAGTCTCTGAGCCTGGAAGGGCCTATGCTCTATTTCTGCACCTGTATTTTCATTGCTGCTGTAAAACTTAAATAAAAACTCAGGTAAGGAGACTGACATTAAAGCACAAATATGTAAAGTGGACAAAAACACATTACTCCCAACTATTTACTGCCACACTTGAATGTTTACCTCTGATTTGGATACGGAGCTACAGCAGGAGCCCCAAGAATCTGACATAGGAACTTTTTGTTGTCTTCCCCATCATTCAGGGCAGCCACACTGAACTTAGGAAACAAGAAAATAGGAATTAAGCTATTAGTTATACTAGCACAAGTTCACACGTCCACAACTATTGCACATTTTCATTTGCATGTTTAATAATGGGCACACAGACATAACCTTCTCCTGCACAGCACCCTGGGGAAAGGTGACACAGCTGCTTAAAGGCAGATGGAAAAAAAGCTCACCCTCACTGTTTGGGCTCGTCATTACGGTTGGAACGTGCCTGACTCCTGAGTTCTTGCTTTGGCTGGAGAAACCCTGTTATCTGCCTCTCTACAGATATACTACACTTCTGTTTCTTTCCCATACTGGAATTTAACCACGTTTGCAAGATGAACACAGGATTACTGAGAGTACATGTGGAGCAATCAGAAAGAGGGAAGCTCTTGACCACGCTATCCTATTTTGGAAAGAGAGAAATGGACAAATAGGGAGTTAATATGCACCTAGGTTCTGGGACATGGTGACAGTGTTTGCTAGGGAGGTAAATTAAGATAACAAAACCAGGATGTATTGTCCCTTTATATCAGTGTGTGTATGAATTTCAGTTAAGTGTCATGAGTTTATTTTGCTCTGAGCTCCAAGTACTGAGCTGTGAAACACAGACCACACCAAACACAGACTGATGGGTGTTTTCTTGCAGAAAAGAGCTACGTAAAACCAAGGGGGGATTTTGATGATGAGATGAGGGCCTGGTTTTCTTCATATCTAATAGGATGAGAAAGAACACCAGGGAAGTCAGTGGTGTTGGAGCAGCATAAGACTGGATGCTAAAGGGTTTTCTTTTTGGAGTGCTTTCCAGAAATCTGAAAGGATA